ATGTTAGACCAGCCTAAAGAGATAAATATATAAGCTCAAAAACTGCAGAAACACACACCTAGGGTGTTCACTTTCCTTCTGACAGTCTATTCAAATTATACACCCCCCCCCAAGAAGTTGTGACTGTTATCTCTGAAGTACACTCTCCTTCACTGACTTTTAAAAAAAAATTACATATTTTTATTATGGATCTGTTGCTGTCTCTTACTGTCTTGTCCCCTTTCTGAAGCACATAAGGATTGCATCTGAAGTTGGGATTCATCCTACTACTTATAGTGTGTAGATAACCCTTCATGTATCTGTGGGTTCCACACTCATGCCTTCAACAAACATTGCTTTGAAATTTCAGGTTGCATTTGCACTGAGCATATACAGTCAATTTTCTAATCATTATTCCCTTCACAACACAGTAAGACAACTATTTGCACATCATTTACATAGTATTTGGTATTACAAGTAATCTGGAGATGACTTAAAGTACAAGGGATGGTGTATATAGGTTATATGCAAGTCCGCCATTTTGTATAAGAGATTTGAGCATTCTCAGGCCTGGCACCAATTCCACACAGATACCAAGGGACAATCATTTTTACTGTGGCATTGTTCTCCTGCCTTCTTTTTACCCTGCATCCCCAAGCCAACTCTCATTAAATCAGTGGAGGAATTTACAATTCATCAAACTGGGGATAGCCTTCCAATCTGCCTACCTGGAGGGAGGGAGCACAGCTGTTGGTGTTTGTATTATCTCAGAAGATAAACCACCTTGCTTGTAGGATCGAGGCCTGGGGAGACGGAAATTAACAGCCTCAGGCTCTCTTAGACTTAGAGGAGAGGAATTTTAAAGAGGACTGCCGTGAAAGACTTAGTGTTTATATCATTGGACACAGCCAATGATTTCTTCTTTATCTCTCCAAATTTGTTTTTAGTATCTAAACCCCACTCTCAGACAATTCACTGGTATCATATTTGTTCACATAGCTGAAGACAAATCAGCCTTTTGATGGTCATGTAAGAGCAGATCAAACTGGAAGTCTGAAGCCTCCTCTTGCATCCTCCTCCTTCTCACAACAAAGTCCCTCAGTCCCCAAACTCCAAGTGTGGTGACTGATAGCTCGTAATTGAATTCTCCTGGAGAGAATATTCTCTGCTGAAGAGCATAGTCCAATCTAAGCTCACACACACACATCTTGAAAGTGGCCCACATCCATTCACAGGCCGAGGTGAATCTCACATGCTAAGATCTCACATGCTAAGATGGAGACTTGGTTTCAGATGACAAAAGTGACCACAGTACCAGGACAAGTGATGTGGTTGGTTGGGGTCTTTGTTGTGAACTCCTCACCACCAAATCATCTCTTTCTGTCTCCCTCTATTTCTTTCCCTTTCCCACAAAGAATGATGAACCTCTAGTAACCTCCTAGTGAACTTGATCTGTGACAGTGGATGTGTTATAAGTTGTCAAAAGTGCTTGAAATGAGATTTGGAGCTGGGTCACCCATGCACCAGTGAATAGCAATGACCCACGCCACTGGAGGCAAACAGGCTCTAGAATGAGGGAAACTTTTTTGCCAATGGAGAACAAGGCAAGCACAATGAGCTGGTCTGGTGGATGAGGAGCTGTAGAGACATGGAAGAAATACTAACAACAATGTAACTGATCTAATTAAAGATGTCTGAACACCAAATCCTGCTTTGGAGCATATCGGGTGACAAATCTTCCACTACTAAGGGCAGACAAATCTGAGAATCAATTCCAAGACAAATATAAGAATAGCACAAGCCACTATAAGTCGATGTTTTGACAGGTCTACTATGCCACTGTCAAGGCCCTGCATAGAAAAGACTGGGAACTATGAAGCACGCGATGGGAATATCTATGCTGACAAATTCAGCAGTATTAAGTTCTCAGATTCTTCTGGATCCTCTGCAGAAGTAGCCCACTCTTTCCAGGTAGAAGTTAATGACATGAGGTTGGAGAGGTGACCCCAGTTCAGTTCCTCACACCCATGTCAGGCAGCTCACAACAACCTGTGACTCCAGCTCCAGGGGATCTAGTGACCTCCTTTGGCTTCTGCAGGCATGTACTCATGTGGCATCCAGTCACCTAGACACACACATATACATAAATCAAATGGTAAAAATAATGTGTAGGCTAATGTCTCTGTTGATAGATGATTAAGTAGAAAAGCCCTGCTCAACAAGACGATGCAGACTCTATTTACTGTTTACTCAGATCTTCTTTCTGTCCACTGAAATAATAACAAGATTATTTTTAATGGTTTTTATTGTTATTACAGCAAAATTTGACTTGTTATTGACTTCTTAATGTCTTTGAGGAAGGAAAGAGCGAAGCTGCTGTAGGATCTAGACATACCAACATACCAACAGGGAGCTGAAGAATCCATGTGAGATTGAATTCTGAGTATTAGTATGTGGGTGGAACATAATGTAAGATACTGGTGAGTTGGTAGATATGAAAGTAATACAGAGCTTAATGTTTAGTGAGTCCCAGAGAGTGGTAATATTTCAGTTACTAAGAGGTTTATAGGAGGCTAGAGGAAACAATGGCCTACATTAAGTCATGCAGAAACATTGCAACATAAAATGGAAGGAAAAACCAAAAGCATTATGAAAGTATGCATTCATGGGTATACCAGATGGTGCTGAAAATGCCACCAAAAACCTCTGACCAAGGAAGCATTCTATTGAACAAAATAAGAAGCATAGGACTCTAAGGGCAGCATTATCAGTGGGCAACTCCGTGTTGGCCAACTTCTGACAGCAGGCAGGTCAGCTACAGAGGAGCTGACCCTTGACCCTTAGTAAGCTATGGAGATGCTTAAAAGAACAAGGCATCCCTAGGAGTGACAGACAACAGTGGGGGCTGTGGTGCATCCCCTGAAGTCATAGGAGTGGTACCCAGAACATAGAAGAGGCAAGGAGACCTGAACGTGTAAAAGGGCCATGAAGTGAAGTGGGTTCTGTGTCATGATGTACTTCTTACCCCAGCTGCTAAGAACATTAGCCTCTGGCGCTCTGTTTTCTTCTGTAGGAATTGTGTTCTGCTGAAGAAAACCATTCTCCTATGATGGAGGAAGGTCATTGGTTAAATAAACTGCCTTGGCCCTGATAGGTAAGAACATAGGTGGGTGGAGTAAACAGAACAAAATGCTGGGAGGAAGAGGAAGTGAGGTCAGAAATCATGCAGCTCCTCTCAGAGCCAGACTCATGAAGCTCAGACCCAGGATGGACGTAGGCTAGAATCTTCCGGTAAGTGCACCTTGAGGTGCTACACACATGATTGGAAATGGGCTAGTCCAGGTGCGAGAGTTAACCGAGAAGAGGCTAGATATAATGGGCCAAGCAGTGTTTAAAAGAATACAGTGTCTGTGTAATTATTTCGGGGTATAAGCTAGCCAGGCGGCCGGGGTGCTGGGGACGCAGCCCCGCCACTCCAATTACTACAGAACTACTCACAAACATGATTCCGTTCAGGGAAGTTTTAACAACTGGCCCATCAGGAACTATGAAAGTCTACCCCCTTACCCAATACAGACATAGAACTGATCCTGGCCTATAGTTCTACTTGGCATCACCCAAGGCCTTAGCGATTGCTTCAAAGCCTGACTTCCTTTCTTATACTTTGTTTCTCGTCGTTTTTCATGGGTTTTCACAGAAGAGTCCTCCCAGCAAATGTCATGAACGCAGATCTCCTTCCCATGAAACTGGAACTGAAGCATTTCCTCCCTCACCACATCCTACATCAGCGTTTTCAAACATATGTGGTTTACTTGTGATAGAGATCATAAAGGACATCATCTTCCCCTTGTTCATCCACTCCTTCAGAACCACCATGGACTGGGGAAGGCTTCAGGGTTGTGACATTTTAACATTACCCTTGATTCTAAGTAAGCATGCTATACAAACTGCTACCACATCAAGAACTCAGACTCAAATCATCCCATGATTTATCTTCCTCTATATCCCTGATTCAACTCATTGTGAAATGGAGAAGCAGTAATAGGTCAAAAGTTTGGTACCAGCTAAATAAATTGTGAAGAACTAACTGTCCCCAGCACCTAGTATAAGTTTTACTATTGCAACTATACCAGTTTGGTTTTCTGTTTCCATGAAATAACCCTAACCTGTAGGCAGAAGCAATCTCTGTCTACACTAACCAAAAGCAACTTGTGGAAGAAATGGTTTATTTCTCCTTATAAATTACAGTTCATCATTGAGGAAAGTCAAGGCAGAAACTAAGGCAAGAACTGAAGTAAGAAATCATGGGAATTATTTCTTAATTGGTTTACTTACCATGGCTCTCTCTACTTGCTTTTTTTTAACACAAACCAGGACCACCTACCCAGATGTGGCATTACCCATAGTGGGATGGGCACTCCCTCATCAACCAGAAATCAATAAAATGCACGAGAGACATTGCCCGTAAGCCATTCTGATGAAGGCAGTTCCTCAATTATGGTTTTCCCTTTCTGAGGTGACTCAGTTTGTGTCAAGTTGATAAAAACTAACAAGGAAAATTATTTGCATTTTCTCTCTTCTTGAGAAACTCAAAGCAGGGTTTGTGGGGGGAGCTTCCGGATTCCAGAAAGAACTACCATCTTTTTTGCCAGAAGCTAGCCTCAGCCCTGCTGTCTCTCATTCTTGCAATCTAGTTCCCCTTTCACCTCAATTTGTTCACATAGTTCTCATTTTTTATCAAATTTTTTCACTTATTTTACATCCTGACTGCATTTTCCCTCTTTCCTCTCCTCCCATTCATCCCTCCCCTCCCCTCTATAATGACCTTGAACATCCCTTGACTGCCCCACTTGCCCCCACCCGACCCATACAATTCTTCTTCCTCCCTCTCTTCAACAAAATTCCCTGAGCTCAGCCCAGTACTGGGCTGTGAATTTCTGCATCTGTTTCCATCAGTTACTGGATGAAAGCTCTCTGATGACAATTAGGGTAGTCACCAATCTGATCACAGGAGATGGCCAAAAAATATGGAATGCTTCATGAATTTGCACGTCATCCTTGCTCAGGGGCCGTGTCAGTCTTTTCTGTATCGTTCCAATATTAGTATATGTGCTGCTGAAGTAAACACAGGTCTTATTATTTTTTGTATTTGACGTATTTCTCAAAGCAACTTCAAACCGTGTGTGTGTGTGTGTGTGTGTGTGTGTGAAGGACAAACAGAGAATCCATTAAGTGGAAATGAGGAAGGAAAAAGGAAAGGAGAAAGGAGTAGGGGGAAAGGTTGTGCTATCACTGGCAGAAGTGGAAAGAGGAGTTGAATTGGCCTAATACAGAGTGCCATAGCTGTCTATATGACTACTGTTTAGCAGAACTCAGCACAGAGAAGCATTCATCTATATTACACAGTTACATGTGTGTTGTGAGAGGTCCTTCCGCTCCTCCAGCCAATAGCCGCTGAGACACCAGCCCATTGGGGCGTGGTCTCTCTCCCTTTAAAAAAGCGGCCACTTCCCTTCTCGCTCTCTTTGCTTCCTGCTCTGGTTCTGGTGACTAGACTTCTTCCTGATTGCGCAGAGGGCTGTTGTCTGGGACGGTGATCTGTAAGTTTTTCCCCCCTTTAAATAAATGCCACCCTATTAATCATAATTCCAAACTGGTGTGGCATTGTTTGTGACTTTACGCATTCACGTGTGCATGAGGCAAACTACAGTGAGACCAAATGAATCTGACTGCCCTGTTGCTGCCAGGGTGTGTCCTTAGATGTTGCCTGATGTAGGCTCTTCAGACTCAGAGAAAGCAGAACATCGCACACCATGCGGGCAGGAGGGAAGGCAGCAGAAGAATCAAAAAGAGACCGACATGGATGCAGATGCACATATAGAAAGAGATCTAGTTTCTACTTGTTATGAAGAAATATTGATTGTAGTTTCAGATCTCCAGATTCTTGCCCAATTCTGTCCTTTTCCTCTAGGCAGCCTCTGTTTTTTTCTTGCAGGGTTCCACAGAAAGTTTGCCCTGGAACCATGCTACGGTAGAAACACAGCAACGTCGGAGTTTCTTTTTCTTTTCCCAAGTAGGATAAACGTCCTAGCTGAAAGCACCACACAAGCCCGATCTGATGCCACTGGTCCTCGTTTCCTTCCATCATTAGTAACTGCATGGAAGAACAAGACTCTGCTTCTCAAACACACCAGAAAGTTTAGAAAACAACTTGTACATGCGGAACTTCAGGGAGTTGTTTTTCTCCTTCCTAGAAGGTAAATTATCATGATTAATTCCCATTCTACTTATGGCACTCCTAGGCCACTTGTTTCCCTGTAGAGAAATGAGAAAAATCAACCTACTATGCATTCGTCTTCATTTCAAACATGTGCGTTGTTGGCTTGGTTTACTTAGCCGTGTGTCCTGTCAGTCTTGAGTAGGGTTGCCACATGTTCTTGTGCTTCCTAGAGGACTGCCAAGGGTCGTGCTTGACTTGGGACCAAGCTTGTCTCTGAAGCCAGCTTCCCAGTCTCAGTCGTGTGGTGGTTCCTTACAGACATCTCTTTCCAAGGGAGATGCAGGCATGGGTACCTTGGTTCATACCAACACACTGTCGGGTGGACGTCAAGCATGTTTCTTTTGATATTTTCTTACATTTATTTATGCTGTTAAAAAAATAAAAGGAGCCGGGTGGTGGTGGCGCACGCCTTTAATCCCAGCACTGGGGAGGCAGAGGCAGGCGGATCTCTATGAGTTCGAGGCGAGCCTGGTCTACAAGAGCTAGTTCCAGGACAGGCTCCAAAGCCACAGAGAAACCCTATCTCGAAAAACCAAAAAATAAATAAATAAATAAAAGTAGTTGCTGGGCAGTGGTGGCTCATGCCTTTAATCCCAACACTCAGGAGGCAGAGGCAGGTGGATCTCTGAATTCTATAGAGCAAGTTCCAGGACAGCCAGGACTACACAGAGAAACCCTGTCTCAAAAAACAAATAAATAAATAAATAAATAGACAAATAAAAAATAAATTTATTTTAAAAAGAAAAATAGATACAAAGGAAGGGTCTGAAATTTCCTAAGTCATCGAAATTATAAATAAGTGAAAATGCTAATTTTCCTAATCTGCTCATAATACATTGTATACATAAACTTTACCACTGTATATCATAAATACATAGAAATGTTTTGTGTCAGTTAAAAATAACATAAGGAGTTGGTTTTTTATGTCCTTTAGCTACTGTGAAGAATACAGAAATCAGCACAGCAGATCAAATGCTTCCTTAAGCTATTGATTTTCTGAGCTGAGTTTGGAAGCTTGATAGCAGTGATTACAATAAGTACGTGTATCAAAATATCTAGTCGTACACTTTAAGTATATATAATTTTAATTGCTAAATCATATTAAATAATCCTGAAATGATAATATTTCAGGTCCTGGATAGGGCCTGAGAGATGACACACACTATAGAGCATCTGTTGCTCTTGCAAAGGATGGGGTTTGATTCCCAGTACCTGGATGGCGAATCACAACCAGGGAATCCGATTTCTTCTACTGACCACCATGGACACCAGGCACACACATGTAATGCAATTACATAGACACAGGCAAAACACTGAAACACACAGAAAATCAGTAATAATAATAATAATAATAATAATAATAATAATAATAATAATAAAAATAATGTTGCTGGGGTTGTAGGACCATATAACATCCCTGTAGCTCTAATGTTCTATATAGAAAGTCTAACCAGAGCACAGACTTGGAGCAGTGCACAGCCTCGGACTTGAGGCAGCACACAGCTGAAGGACTTTCCGAACAAACCTGGGAGGACAGGATTAACTAACTATATAGGTTCTATTCTGTAGGTGGGGAACAGGAACGAAATACTGTTCGGGTTGTTAACAATGTCATACATATCATAAGGTTTGGTTTGTTTATCTGTGAAGCTTTTAATAGTAATAGATTACATCAGGAGTGTCAAAATATACACAAGGAGGCTTGGGAGACAGCTCACTTGGTAAATTGCTTGCTATGCAAGCAAGCATCTACATAAAAAGTCAGGTGTTGGGAAGCAGAGGACAGGCAAGCCATGCCTACATCGTGAACTCCATCTCAGAGACAGAGCGTTCAGATATGGGAAGGGGCTGGAGAGATGTCTCAGTGGTTAAAAGCAAGTGCTGTTCTTGCAGAGGACCTGGGTTCAACTCCAGCACCCACGTTGGGTGGTTCAAAAGTCCCTGTGATTTTAGCTCCAGGCATTCCGATGTGCTCTTCTAGCCCTGTGAGAACCTATGCACACACATGTGGTACACACACACACACGCACGCAAACACACACACACACACACACACACACACACACACACCTACATGTATACACACGAATGAAAATAAAAGCTTAAAGACTGCAGGATGATGAAAGCAGATCATGAACTCGAAGAATGGCCAGACATCCACATAAGAGATCTGTTACTGCTTTTGTGACAGTGGTGGAAAATTCCCTTTCCTCTTTCCCTTACAGGCCTCCCTTCTGAAGGCTTCTGCTGGAGCCTTCTCCTCTGCTACGATGTTTGCCACCAAACCTGTCTTTTTAAATATGCATTCTGGGGATTAAACTGGTGTCTTCTTGCTAAAAATACAAACACTTTACTAACTGGTCTTTCTCTCTCTCTCTCTCTCTCTCTCTCTCTCTCTCTCTTTCTCCCCAGCACTTTCTCCATCCGATAATGACCTTATTCTATAAATAATATTACTCTCCATCTACCTAGAAATCCTGAACCCAAGTATTTACTCCATCTCTACTGCGCCATAGTCCAAATTATCACCATCTCCTGTTGGACTATTATCCCACCTTGGGTACCTCCAGTTGCTAGACTCACTTTCAAAAGGCAGGTGCAGATATCCAACCAAGGACATATAATCATATCAGAAGTCAACCTGATTCCCGTCCATCATTTGCATTTCCCCCCTTTTATAAGAATACATGAAATACGCCCTCTTAGCAACTTTTGTACAAGAAATTCTTGCTGATTGCCTGCCATTTTCTACATAGCTCTCTATAACCTGCTTGTCTTGCATAGCGGATATGCAAAGTTTAGGTTTCCCTGTTTTACTAAAAGATTTGAATCTTAGCCCTGGGACTCATGGGAGTCACCCCCCATCATTTCCTCATCTTAAAAAGGAAGTTAGAGCTGAGTCACAACAATTTAACACCATGTGCAACCAACGCAAGATTCCCAGCTTCATTTCCAATGGCGAATTACTGCTCGATCCCAGCCAGCACTTTCCTGAGTATTGCTTCTCCAGGGCCTCATCATTCAGCTCTTCATCTAGTGTGGGGAGTCACTCACATGTCTCCCTAGGGAAGGTGTAGTGAAAAATGTCCCTCAGATCTACAAATAAGCTCTAATTGGATGCCATTGGTGACAAATGACTCAGAACGTGATTAAAACACTGCTGATGTTGGTGGACAGGCACTTTGTGGTTTTGTTCACGACTCTGCCCTTAGTGCCACAAAAGCCTACACTTTACTAACAAAATATTTGCCAAATGAATATCAATCAGGCTGAGAAAGAGAGGGGGGTAAGGAAGGGAGGGAGGGAAGGAAGGAGGGAGGGAGGGAGGGAGGGAGGGAGGGAGGGAAAAAAGATTTCCAACAGACAAAGTACTACACTGAAATGTGAACAAATAGAGCTGGCTTAAATGTTAAAGAAAGTCAGTTTGGAGGTGACTTAAAGCTCCAGGTAGGGTGGGAAGTTCAAGCCAGGCCAAGAGATAATCTGTGGTCAGGCCACAAAAACTGTAATCCAAATAAAAGTTTGATATTGGTGGAGAAAGGGGCATCATTTCTTAACTTGAAGCAGGAGATAAATGAGAACATGTATACTTAGAACACTTAACTATAACAAGGAGATTTGCGTTATGATGATTGGCAGGAGATGCACTCAAAGCAGAGAGAGTTTGTAGAAGTAAGAGGCCTCTGTGGCTAGTGCAGGGAGGCAGTAATGTGGTACAATAGCCCAAGATAATTTAAAGAAGCAACGATCTGGTGATGGAGCTTTGACAGGCTCTATGCTGTGGTCCCAGCTGACTGACAAATGGGTGCAGTGCCCTAAGAGCTGATGTTGGCAGGATGGCGGTGAGG